ATGAGTCGTGTGATATTAGACAAATAAAAAGATCACTGAGCTCCTTCATTAGATATTCTGAATTATGTCAGTCAAAAGAAGAAACAAAATGCAAAGCTGCTGATTTATTACCTGTTTCTCAAGATTCAGTGCATTCAGCCTGTCCTGGACATAGCCAGATGAAGATGATGGTACCTCCATGTAGTAAAGCTCCTACGGAGGAAATAAATCCAGCAACTGGATTCTTTCCTGCTGTTACTGAGGATGAGAATCAAATCAGTGTCAGGACTGAACCTGTCACAGCAACACATCTCACTGATGACAACCAATCTGTATCTTCCCTCACCAAAAAGAAGAAGAAGAAGAGAAAATTGTCTAACTTTGTAGAACAAGGTACATCTGAAAATCAAAAAGATAAAGAAACTTCAGGGATAATTGAAAGTGAGGGAATGCACATCGCAAGCAAAACTAGACAGGATTCCACAACAGAAGCTATGGATAATTATTCAGAAACGATTCCGAAAAAAGGAATGGATTTTTTTGTAAAAAAAGATGAGTTTGTCAATTCAGGCAAAAGCGTATGTCCTGAAGATGAGTTCTGTCACCAGGATTCAGTGGAACAAAACGGATTATCATCTAATAAAAAAGCACGAAGTAATAACAACAAGTTAGCCAAGGTAAAACTGAAATCAGGCAAAAGAAATACTGCTGTTTCATCTGCAAAGAGTGAAGATGATCTAACGACAATTGAATCAAACAAGGAATCTGAACACAGTCAGGACACCCTGAGTACTGAGAAAGAAGGCACACGTCTCACAACCAGTTCTTTTGAGCAGACACCTAACTCATCAGTGATTTCAAAGCCATCATTAGAAGTGCCAAAGAATCTTAACTCTGAAAAAGAAAAGAATATTTTGGAAAATTTGTCATCAAAGAAAGAGAAAAAGCAAAAGGAGATGAAGAAAAATCTAAGTAAAGGTTCAAATAGGTTAAATATGTCAGAGAGAGCCATTACACTAGAGGCTCTAAAACAGGAGGATTTCCAAGAGGAGGTTGTTGAGCATTCACTTGAAAACTATATCCAAACTTGGCTGAAAAACTTGTTACCAAAATCTGTCTTACCCCCTATAAATAAAGAAGAGAATGTAGAAAATAATGTCTGTGATTTTCCTAAAGAAAATAGTGACGCTTCTATAGGTAAAGAAACAAGACTTACCACAAGTAAAGCACATGTGACTGGAAAAAAACATCTTGTTGAACATAATCTGACCAAGACAACATTAAAGCCCATTTGTGACTTGGGAACTTTAGAAGAATCAGCCCAGGATTCAAGTGAGAAACAAACTGACTCTTTGATTCATGTCAATACAACTATAGTAGAAGAAGCCAAGTATTCACTAAAGTCAGAATTCCATCATGAAGGCAAGCTACACTTGTTTCATGAAACACATGACAATGATAAAAAGGTATTAGAAGTTGATATCCGAGATACCAATTTATGTCAAAGAAAAAAATCTGAAGTTGCTGTTCAAGTTGATTGCACAATTGTCAATGAGAAAATGGGAACTGATATTCAGAGTAATTGCGTGTCTAGCATGTTGCTGCATGAGCTACAATCGACTTTGCTTGGTCTCCAGAAAGAACATAGTGGATGTATAGGAAAAGCTTGCGGCCTTTCAGATCTTTCTCCTTCAGCTTTTGGTTCTTCCTCCAATGTCCTCCTGGCTTGGCTACTCATACTGAACCTGAGAGACAGTTTGATTGGGACAATCAAAGATGATATGCAAAAAACTACCTGTAGCTGTTCTGAAATATTTACACAGTTACAATTTCTGAAACAAACTACAGTCATAGAAAAGGTTGATGAACTAAAGGCTGCCTTCTCACATTTTCAACAATCAACAGAAAATAACGGATTATACTTTGGAAGGGAACTCAAAAAACAGGACTCCACACATTGCCATGAGAATATGCCCATACCTGAAATTCATAACGGTATACATTTGCATGAAAACGAAAAATCAGTTGAACCTTGTATTCCAAAGGACAGTGTAAATCCTGAAGAAGCTCTAAAATTGACCGGTGAATTAGAAAGCTGTTTGGATATACAGGAAGACCTTTGTAGAGAAACAGAGACCTCAGACTTGAGTGCTTCCAAAGCAGATGGTCAATATGCCAATACTAATTCAAATACCTGTAGCCTTGCATCAGTTATAGAGCCACCTGAAAGAAATGAAAGAATGCCTGAGAGCCTATATGAAAAATATCAAGGTGAAAACAGAGATACATCATTCAGTAATGAAGAGTCAGAAACTTCACTAGAACCTAACTCCACAGTTCATAGTGTAACTTCTAATGATAAAAATCATATTTTGGATCAGGATACTTCTGAATTGGAAGGTGAACAAGATATACATGTTACTACTGATAAAAATGAAGATGAGAAAGTTGTTCCAAAGTCAGCAGGTAATGACAAAAACCCAAATAACCAACTTAAACTAGCTGCTGAAACCTCTGTAGAATATAATAATGAGGATTATTCTGTACAGGAAGACAAGGAAGATGCAGAAACCTGTGAGGAAACCTCTGAAAGGTTATCTACAGTCTCTCCATTGTCATTTTGTTATGAATCAAAGCAAATTACAGAATGTGATATGAGTGAAGGAGAACAGAAAATGCAAATAGAAGAAGTGGAGAACAAAATGTGTTCAGACAATTCTCCATTAAAAAAATGCTTAAAAAGTCCTGCTACTTCAGACTGGTCTGATTACAGACCAGATACTGAAGAGAGTGATCATGAATTTAGAACATCCAGTGATTTGACCAATGAAAGTGGGGAGGAAGCAATACTTGAAAAACATTATAATACTGGTTATGTAAAAAGAACTATTGAGCGACTTTATGGCAAGACGGAAGCTTCATTTAAGCCTGACTTTCACAAAGGATTTCCTTATGTGCCGAAAGTGTTTCAAAAGGATACTGAAGAATTCCTCTCTACAGTGATGGAAAAAACCATTTATTTTTCTCAAGGACCTAGGTCGTGTTCTGCAGAGAAATCGTCACCTTCTTCACTACCATCACAAGAATTTCCAGTAAACATAAACAAAGACAACACTATATCAAGAAGAGAAAATACTTCTTTGCTAACACCACAAACTATTCTTAACAGAGAAGAGACAGATTATACTAATGACCATTCAGGGGAATCGCAACAGCAACATTGTCAACCTAGCATAAGAGCTAATGAAGATGAAGGAATATTGATAGATAAAGGCAAATGGCTTCTCAAAGAAAATCATTTGATAAGAAGATCACCACCTGAACGGCTTGTAATGTATGGTAATATGGATACAACATCAACAGACACAGCCCTTGACAGTGATGATGTTCCATACTCGCACTTTGGCAATCTGAATCAGTACCCAGACCTCAAAGAAATCTCTTCTTCAGAACTTGAAGACATGGCTAAACCTCCAGAAAACTTTTGCAACTACTTCAATATGCCTCGTAATAGTGATTCAGACCCCTTTCAGGATGACTTAAGTATAAAAAGCCAACCTAGCCGCAATGGTAAGGTCGCTTTCCTTCCTCCAGCAAACAAAGAAAAGATCAAACCATCAGTAGTGGCAGGTTCTACTTCCACACATCTTTCCACACAGGCTGATACCAATTTTTCAGCCTTTACATCTGTAGAATTTAGATTGCCTGATAACAAGGTGCATCCATTGGAACAGCCTTTAAATGATGAACCCACACAGCCTCAGCCAACTGATGTCAGTAACCCTAACAGAAGTGCTCTTCAGGAAGAAGATTCCTTGGATAAACTCCATGCTATATGTGGCCAACATTGTCCAATACTGATGGTGACAGTAACACCTATTAATGAGGAACAGAGAGGATATGCCTACCGAAAGGCATCTGATATTGAGAACCAGCTGGGTCCACATTTCTTGGCCAAAAAGAGTGAACATTTACAATGGTCAGGCAAAGATTTAATAAGAGATGAAAATAATCATGTGACTCCGAAGAGTAACTGTATCAGTAAGATTGCCAATAATATTTTTAATAGGTTTTGTACTGATAACACCTTAGATTTTTTTAGTAACTTTGGGATACTTGGATCTTCAACTCTGAAAGACTCAAGCAGTTTAGAGAAGTTACATGTTACAGAGGATATGAATGTAAAACCTGTGGAAGTCAGCAATTGTCAAAATAATCTATCCAAACACATACCCAGTGATCTTGTGATAAGCACAAATAGCGAGCTACCCAACAGAAAGCCAAAAATATGCCAAACCCTAAGAATAAGTCTAATTCATATCGATGGAGAAAAATTTTCTCCCATGTTGGCAGATCCAGCAGAAAACTGTCATTCTGCAACATTTTTGAAGTTTGGCACTTCTTTAAATAACGTTGAACATAATGCCTCTGAAAACCTGAAAAATGAAAATGCCTTTCCTACAGAAGAAGAAGAAAAAGAAGAAGAAGAAGAAGGTTGCTTTTATACAATGGAACATGGAAACACTAAAAATGAGAAAGACTTGTGACAGATCTGGGTATTTATATAACATTAGATTAGTGAAAACATCTTCAGAAAAAAAAATCAAAATAAATTGCTGAATGCCACACCCAGTAAAACTCCCAATGTGACTACAACCCAGACCTAGCTAAATATAAATCACAATTGTATTTTATTGCTGAAATACAGATAATTACTTAGATTTTTGTGGGAACTGAGGTAGGAAGAAAAGCTGTTCTTCTAAGACAGTGATTTCTTGGATAAAAACAGTTTTCCCTTGAAATATTATCTGCTCAGAGATATTAAGTTAGATACCAACCATCTCATTTGTAGAGAAACAACTACTGCTTGTTAGAAGAGAGAACTGAAATTTGAAATACCTGCCTGAGTTCTAAGATGAGATTCCTATATTTCATGACATTTGAGAAAGGGTTTGAGAATTGCCTTTCCGTGGAAATGCTTTTTCCAGAACAAAATCAACTGATATGTTTAATTTGAAATGAAACATAGGAAATATTATTGCAATGCTTGAATACAATGAAAAGTAGGAAACAGAAGCCATGTTAATTTTATAAGATTAACATGATCAAATTGCTATTTCAGGTTTTAAAGGTCAACTTCAGAATATTTGTGTGAGTAAAGAGATCTTTCAGTCTGAATATAGGATCATATAGACCCCAAATGAAGTTTGCCTTTTTTACCCAGAGGATGCTAAAAAAGAAAAGTATTTACTGCTGCTGGGAATACTCTTAAAATTGTTCTAAATAAACTGCAGGTTTTAGTTGTGTGTTCTTCTTTACCCTCTCTACTTCAAAGGTGGTCTGTGTCTTTTTTATTTGGTTGGGGTTTTTTTTGTAAATATGTTGTATTGTGAGAATCTAAGGCATAAGTAATATGTTTCAGGATCTTTTAATGTGTTATTAGAATTATTTTGGATTCCTGTTTACAGCATTTTTTAATATTATGTGTGTGTAGTAAGCACTTATATATAGTTTACAATTTTCAGTAAATTATTTTAAATCTAAAATTGGAAAATATTCAATGTGTGTTGTGAATAGGCAGAATATTTCGGGGTTTTTGGTTAGATTTTAATCCTTAACACTTCATAGTCCCTTGCTTCAACATCAATGAAGTCAGAGACACACCTGAAGGAGAATGGTGCTATTTTTCAGTTACAGAATGAGAATTTGGCTATTCTGTACTCTTGGAGGCTGTGTCTAGACTAACTGGCATGTACCTGCTGGGATAAGCCCTGGATCATGATCTAGTTAAAGGCTGACACAAATCCCAGAGGCTTTGATTATCTCCTTGTGGGACAAAAGGTATGTGGAGGGGAAGTAGAAGTTGGATCTGGAGCAAAAGGGGTTTGCAGTACAGGTGGGAACCCTAGAAGCACTCTTCAATTCTTTTTAGAAGTCCAGTGGCAGATATATTTCTCCATAAATAACTGGTACATTTTTGTTGTTTGAAGCAATGTATACTACATAATAAACTAATATTAAAACCCTAAAGCAACATATATTGTCTAATATATTTCACACCAAATAGCTGTGTGTTATTTCCTATGCTGGCCTTGTTTCTGGTGTCCTTCCTTCCATCTTCACAGCTTTTGGCTTCCTCCTTCGCACGTTTTCGAACTGCTCCAAGTGGAGAGTACCAATGGTATTTTTTCATCCTTTTGTATGTCAATGCAGAAATAAAACCTATGTTTGGAAAATTGTGTGAGCCGGCACAGGCAGGACACAGGAACAACCACAAAACCCTGGGTGAAGTGCAAAGTTTAACACTGCCCCCACAGCAGGGCAGGAACCTCGAGCATGTTCGATAGGGTGCCTCTGAATCCATCACAGACCTATACTATCTGAACACAGACATTCTACTCGTCAGTCACACAAGAACAGATCACAATTAGCATGATACATGTGTTTTTCTACACCACCTCTCAGCTGAAAGTCACTGGAGCATGGTTCCGATCCTCCTTGCCAATCTTCCATTACCTTCCCACAAAAATGAAGCTCAAAATTACTAAAATTTAACTAAATGCCATATAGCTTTCTGAGTACTAGGCTTCTATCCTGTGAATAATGTCTAAATATTAGGTGGGAGAATTAAGAACTATACATATATATGTCTCCATCACTTGCAGTCTTCCTGCTGGATTCACGGCACCCTGTGCTGCGCTCACAGTACCGTAACTTTTTCTTATCAAGATTCAAGAACCTTTAATCAGGTGCTTATTACAGGGTTACTGAAAAAACTAAGCACTCGAAAGGCGAGATGTGAGGTACCTACAATAGCAGATACCACAGCGAGTGCTGAAATGATTGTCATCGTAACTGAAAGACTCGCTTCTGATTTCAGTGTGTTAAGTGAAAGAGAAGGAATGAAATGGTGACCTCAGAGCAGGACAAAAGGTTGACAGTGAGATGTACCATACTGTCTTAGGGTTTATATGTTCATTAATCGTTCAGGGAAGATATAGGATATTAAGCAGATGAGATATGCAGATAAAATAAAAATTTAATTAAGTAAGTTTGGAGAAGGCTGAAGAGGGAACCTCATAATGCTGGTGACTAGAGCAACATACTGATTGCCAAGGGAAAAACACCGTGAGGAGTAGTATGAGCTGCTGTATAAAGGTAGTTTAATTCTGCAAATTAACTGGAAAAACAGAGTCTTTCTGAACACGTCAGGATAAAATACAAGCATATTAAATAATGTGTAAAGAACATCATAGAAAACAATTCAGCAGGCATTAAAGGGCTTTGTGTAGATTATGCTGTTTTTCTGGAAAGAATTCAGGTTTTGTGTTGCCTGTATTACAAAAGAAACAGCTGACATAACATATAGATCACAGTCCCAGGAAGTTTCAGTTTATCTAGTTTAGCCTCCTGTTAGAAAGAATCCACTCAATTAGGTAAGTAACTCCATTTAATTACTAACTATCGTTTAAAAACTTGTTATTTATAGTTGTCACAGCTTCCACTGGAGGGATGTTCTAGAACTTGAGTTCTTCTTCAGATGTCTGTCTTCACTGTCTTCTAATTTCTGTCCTAAGCTTAGTCATGGTTCGTTCATATACATGTCCCAAAGCCAACATTGTCATTTACTTAGATACATCTTTTTCCTCCTTGATATCCATCAACAAAATCAGACATTCTCTCAACTTTTTCTCCTACATAAACATTTTCTCCATTTCCTCTGATCATCATGGATGCCTTTCACCAGACCTTTTCCAGTTTCAATAAACCAGAATTTTATGCAGTATTTAAAAGATTGTTTCTCTGAACTCTGGGATACCGACAGTAGATTTCTCTGCTTAGGAATCTCTCTCCTGGTGTGTCTCACAGTCACCTTGATGACTCACTCCTTCTCTATTTTTTTGAAGTTATAAATTCCCTGTTCATAGCATTAACTTTTGGTAGTATTTTTCAAATGCATTTCCTTGCACTTTACACTGTTATGTATTACCCCTTTTCTACTGCTCTGGATTTTCTGAACTTCTTATACGTTGACAATTCCTAGCAACTGTGTTACAGAAATTACCTACTCTGTGCAGTAGATTGATGAAAATACGAAATCCAGATAAACTCCAACACCGATTGGAGAAACTTGAAAGTATCCCTGTAAATTCATGCTTCTAATTTCTGCACAAATTTATAATTTCCCATTTAGCTAGTTATTTTCTTACTCTACAGTCTTGCACAAATCCACTTCTCCGTTTTAGCTACTGATTTCTCATACAGTGCTTGGATAGATTAGAGCTACTGTAATTTCCTTGTCTAGAAAGATGCATTCTCACCATCATGGAGGAGATTGGGTACTTGAACAATGCACGTCTGGATACATAGTCCCATGTATCTTCAGTAAACTGATGCTGGTAATCTTTTTTTCTCTTTGGCTGCATATATCTGGAGATAGGTGTCCACTCCTTTAAAATTTGTTCGCAAATATTACCTAGTATTGCTTTGGTGTAAGATACATGGGCTTTAGTGCCTCTGTGCACTCTTCATCCCATTCTGCTTTTCCACTTTAAATTTCCCATTGCAAAGCCTATTCTTGTCAATTGTGCTGACATTTTCCAACCATTGTATGTCACCGTTCTTACTAAAAAGAAAAAAAAAGAAAAAGAGGGAGTTTTCACTTTATTGCAAAATACTTAGTGTTCTCACATTCAGCACATAGTGTACTAGTCCTTTCCTTATTCTCTTTTAATGAGTATGGTTAAATGACCTTTTTACTAGTTTGTTTTATTTTCCTTTACTATACCTCGCTTTTCAGTTCAATTGACTTCATTAACCTCTTCCCTTATTTTTGAAAATTCGCTATTTTTAAATCAAAGGTGTTCTGGACTAATTTTACTGTGAGCGATTATAAATATTGAGGGATTAAAAAAAGTATTAATCATATAATAATCTAATTCAATAACAGCCAAGACTAACATTTCATCTAAATACGGTATTTTCTGTTTTTTTTTTTTTTTCTTCCGTCAATATCTCACAAATAAATGTCCAAACAGATGTCATTGTCAGTTCATGACAGGCTTATATAGAAAATGGTTACATAGCACAGAAGTTATTTGGTATCTTTACTACCCTTGACCTGAAAAAAAATGGACAAACAGATCTTCTGCTGTCTTTGCAGTGAATATTCACACATGGGTAGAGGTGAAGACTGGAAACTATTAACTGGAAAAGCTCCAAGAGGCTAAAAACAGTGTATTGGAGAAGAAAGAATTGCACAGTGATCTACAGTTATCACTGCTATTTCTAGTGTGAAAACATAATTTCCCTAGTCCTCAAATAATATTCTGCTACGGAAAGGTTGGGAGTGAGGATGTTTTCTGAATATTCCTTCCTGTTATCAGCCATCCCTCAGTGATACCATTTCCCTTCATTCCATCCCATTGATACTCAGCTTTCATGAAACCAAAGCCTAAATCCAAATTCCTGGTCTTGATAGTTATGAAATTTAGCCATGGAAAGAGTATTGGTATCTCAGGGTATAATGCCAACGCTGCAATGCAAGAAGATGTTGGGAATCCTTCAGGGGATTCCAAACAAGCTGTTACATCTGCGTGGCCCATCACACCTTTGGAGAGATACAGATACTTTCTTTGAGAGGTCTCGTTCAACAGAGCTAATTTGTTTTGAGAGACTCTTATTCTTGAAGTGATGAGTTTGTAATTCCAGAGCTAGCTTGTTGAGAGGCTGCACAACTGTAATGAGGCAGCACTGCATCGGGCAGAGCTGATATATCCCACGTAAACAGAAAACCACATTTCATACTATTTAATAAAATATTTTAAAACTGTGTTTGAAAAGTGATCTATGTTCATGCCAATTTGACTTTGTCATATGGCATATGCAGAGTAAAAGATGTGAATACAACCTGACATTTCTTGATCTTTGCTAGCCCAACATAGCAAACTCAATATTTTTGTCTGCTGCAATTTTGTGCAATATGTATTTCTGTATTCCTTGACACGATATTATTTAGAATTTTGATTACTGAAATCCATTTTGCTTAAGAATCTTGAGTTTAAGTAATTCAGTGAGTCTTTTTATCTTTTGATAGCTAGGAAATGGAAGGTGTCAGTCTTCACCAGCGATATACCATCTGCAGGAACAAGCTCAAAGGTTTATATTACATTATATGGGGATCACAGCAGTTCGGGGCCTATTTTTCTTGATGGAGAGGACGGAAAATTATTTCAGAGAGGCAATGAAGACATCTTCACAGTAAGTGATATGTATATATTCATTGTGTTGCCCTCTTGTATCCTGCCAGATTGCATGACATTTCAAAATCTATGTGATGAAAAGGCAGGTTTTTTGTATGGCACATATATCTGGAAACAAGAAACAGGACTTACATGTAGAACTATATTTAGTATCCTTTCCCACTCACCTATCTGATTTGATTCAACATATTTCTTGTCTCTTTAAGAAGAACTACTAGTTAATTTACATAGTCCCCAAGAAAATACCAAGAAATATAGGACAACAGATATTTGCTTATTATTGAAATTTAAAATGGGATCACAATATTAAAAAAATAAATGAGAAAGTGAAGAAATATAGTATGGAGTAAATTTTAAACTTTGTTGAATACCTGCTGGTTTATTTAAATTATGGCAATTTTTGTACCTAGAGTAAAGTCTGTCTATCTGAAGATGCTTCTGCTCCTAGTTATACAAGCGAGTTTCTCCCCTATCATTCTTGCACTATGGTGATTTAAGTGAGAAGAGGGCTCCTATCAAAAGTTGTATATTTTGAGCGTGTATATGGGATTGTCAGTGGGTGTGTCTAGCAGGTGCCAGCTATAGGGCCACATGGTGAACAGGTGCTTCCATCGTTAGCATCCAGCAGAGCAGGTGCTCTTCTGAGAAAAGGTATTTGATAGCAGCATTGATAAAGAGCACACCTTTTCCACAGTAGCCTTAGAGCTGCTTGGGATGTAGGAAAAGCAGCTCTCAGCCCTCTTCAGCCTGAGGGAGTTTCTTGGAAGAATTCAGCACCTCTAATAGTATGTCTGTGATATAAAAAAAAAAAACAAAACAACCCAGATGTAAGATTGAAAGGAGTAGATAAAGGTGCCTGACAGATAAAAATACCCTCTTAACAATAGATGTTAGCTCTGTTTCCTGCTCCTGTTATTGCAATTGATTACATTTCCAATGACTTTTAAATGAAGAATATGGAGGCATTCCCTGGTTTGGGACCTACGATTCCCCTCTTGGGTGAGTATCCATTGCCTTGAATACAATTAGGTGAGCCTAGTCTGAAATGTGCCTCTCTGCTTGTGCTGTGTTCTAGATCTCAGCTAACTCTGGTCTGCCTTCGCTGCTCTGTCTCTTTATTGTTTATAACACTGAGTGCAGGGAAGCTCATGATACAGGGAACTTGGTTCACACCCACCTCTACAACGTAGATGAAAACAAATTCTACAGAAACCAATAGAAGGACAGCAAATCCAGCCTGCATAATAATAATAATAAAAAAAAAGGATACAGCAAGGAGGGAAGACGCTCACGGTGTGTTTCCAGTTCCTTGAAGATAAGCTTTCTATATGTACACTTAAGTCCATAACTAGTTTTCTGGAATAACCTTCACACTAAGTTATTCCCTCAGCACCCTGTTATCTGTACTGGACACACTCATCCAGCCTGCTCGAGAGCTAATCTTTCAAATACAGATTTTAATGTTGATTTAATTGAAATTATTTGCAAAAAGGAACATCAAAGCTGAACACAGTTGTTTCTTAAATTGTAAGGCATACCCTCCTGGAGGGGCAGGGAGAAACTCAGAGGTGTGTGTTAGGTGCTTGGGAGAGAGAAACCAGTTTGTATCGGTCAGTGGTAGAGTTGCTAAACTAAGACAGATTTTAGCGTCAAGACACTTTTGCTTTTTAGTCATATATACAGTCTGTACTAATGTGCCACTGAGGCCAATATTCAGTGGGGAACAAAATAGCTACAGCAACATCCTGAAGCAATTTAAATGGGGTTGGCAGGCCAACAGATTTTTTTTTTTTTTTAGGGTTGTCCTTTGAAAGAGACAAGGTTCTAATGATTATCAGGAGAAAAATATTTTGGAAACACTTGTTTAACTATCAGAATATTTAATTCCTCTAAACAAAAATGTCACAGAACAGTTGCTAAATGAATTTGTGTTGTGTGTCGTTTTGTTTTAACAACTGTTCTGAGTTTCATCAGTTGTGTTTCTTTTTCAGGTTAACACTGGAAACATAGGACATCTCTACAAAATACGCATAGGGCATACAAATTCAGGAAACTCCCCTGCCTGGCACTGTGAAGAGGTAAAAGCAGTGAGAAAGAATATTATCTTTCCAAAAGCAGTCACTAGGACAATGGAGTCAAAACATGAATCAGAACATATCCCTGGAATAAGCATATTAGCCTAATGAAATGCTTGCAGCTTCATTTAAGAGATTATTTAGGAAGCTGTGTTTTTATGTGGAATTAAAGGCAGCTTGCAAAGTCTTGGCTGTTTGCAGTTTAGTGAGAGCTGTACATTATGTTTCCTTAAAAAGGGCTGGCTGGGCAGGAGGGAAAACTGCTTAACTCAGCTGCTGTAGTCTCTTCTACAGTCTTTGCATGCTGCAGCGTCTAGACATTGCAGAAAGCAAGACGGCAGCTGAACTCAGTCTAGCCAAGTCCTCCTCAGATCTGTGGCCGATGACGGGTCCTTATGCACAGCACCAGAGCTACATTGCAAATGTTTCTAGTTCTGTGTCTCTGAAGAGAAAAGGCAATAAGGGGTTCTTTCCCCTCCTTATTAAAAAAAAAAAACGATCTTGATGCAGATAAAGCAAAGAGAATAAGCCACTTCTGTTTCAAACTTCAGTTGTGAAGCATGATATATAGGTTACTGGACTGGAAATGAAAGGATCTGTCTTTTATCCGTAACATCAGTGATGTACTATGTGTGCCAATGGTATGCTATGCGTGCCTGTAACACTTGCCTCTTTGTGCCAGCGTTTCTTGTCCGTCAGTTAAGAGATAGTAGTTTATGAAAGGCGTTAGGAGCTGCTGGTAAAGCCATTGTTATAATTGTACTTCAGGGTAAATCTGGATCTATCTAATGCAAAGTGACCACTGAAGTTAAATATTCACTGATCAATGTTCAAATTCTGTGGTTATTTGATACTTGTTTGAAACTGGTTGGTTTTGTCTGGGACAGAAATGCAGAAAGAAGCCCAAGTAAGGCCTGGGCAGTGTTATACTGAAGTTTAGGTCAGATCCTGTGAGTTCCTACCTCTAACCAATGCATGTCTACATTGAAACACTCTCACTGGTGGTATCACTAAGAGGTTTCATGCTAGAGTTATAGGGATTATATCTCTCTGAATTCAGGTGAGGACTGACTGATTATGAAGCCTAGGTACTGCTTTCTAGCTATGCCTTGTTTTGGGGAATCTTGGAGTCAGAGTATCATCTAAGATACCTTTTTCTTCTTTTCCTTGCTAATTTTCTTTTCATAAATGTGAGAGTGGAAGCAGTGAAAGGGTGGAAAACACAGCTTTGAGCTGTGAGACCGAGGGACAGGTTGCCAGCAATTTCTAAAGCGTATCTGAGTTGAGAAGCTAGGAGAGGACAGCAGGTTTTCTCTTAGAGAAGAGGTTCATTTGTATGCTTAGTCTTGGTATTAGAAGTTTTGGTTATCATAAAATATGACTCAACAAATGGACCTGTGCAGATTTGTTGTACACTGTCCTTCATGAACAGAGGCTACGCTGCATTCTTTGTGTGAGACACCCATTGAAACTGAGAGATTGAAGAAGTCTGATGAGAAGCTGAACATGAGCCGGCAGTGTGCGCTGGCAGCCCAGAAACCACCCGTGTCCTGGGGGCATCAAAAGCAGTGTGACCAGCAGGTGGAGGGAGGTGATTCTCCCCCTCTGCTCTGCTCT